TCGATTATAAACTGTAGTCTGTTGTTAAATTCCTTGTCTGTTGTTGTTATTTTTTCTTTCTTCAGACTGAACACAGTTATGTTCCCCTTGGGAAGTACCTTCAAAAACTTCATTTCACAGCCACTAGCATTAGTCATCACTTGGATATACACAGTTCCTTCAGTCAGAGGAGTGCACGGGCATGTGTTCTTGGTGAGATTACATGTGGTCTCACCAACTGGAAAGAAAGCTGGAAAAAATGCATTCAAAAGATTGTGAGCTTAAATTATTCACACTTCAAATGCACATTTTTGGCATCATTTTGAGGACAATCTTACCATGAGTTCCTGATACTACTAGAAAAAGGATTAGAAACTGCTCCATGATCCTTATTCATCCACGCTGTGGTTTGAATCTTGAAAAATAAATTTAAAAAAATGCACTTTAAAAATGAAATGACATTAACAGGAGGTTTCTTCCTGTTAAAAGGGAGTTTTTCCTTCCCACTGTTGCCAAAGTGCTTGCTCATAGGGGGTCATATGATTGTTGGGTTTTTCTCTGTATCTATGAAGCGCCTTGAGGCGACTTATGTTGTGATTTGGCGCTATATAAATAAAATTGAATTGAATTGAATTGAATTATGAGCAAATCTGGTTATAAATCTGCTGGGACCTTTAGTTCACACTGAAACAGTAAATGGGTGATGATGTAGACACAGTATTTTTGTAAAAAGAATAAAATAAGCTAAACTGTCTTACTTCTCCTTCTCATTTTCCTCTCCCTGTTTTAATTGTACTTGCAAACCTGAGTCTAGACAACACTGTCTCACTAAAGCGAAACTTTTAAAGGGTGATTATCATACAATATCTCTTGTTTACGATGGTCTTGAGTTTTCTTCCTAGAAAGCACAGGCAACAATTCACAAATAGTGTAGAAGTGTCCTGGGGGGAGAGCGCTGTTGCTTAGCAGTCTTTACAGGCTGTGAGGGAGAGATGCCTTTTTGAGTGCTTAGGTTTGCATGAAAGGAAGGGAAATAAGCAATATAGAAAGAAAAAAAGAGATGCAAAGCATTGCAACAGCATGAAACTGTGAAGCAGTATTGTTTAACTTTTGGAATGGCCGGCTGATTCACCAGCAAACCCTCTTCGTGTTTTTACAGACGAATCACTGAGGTGATCACTTTAAAGTAGCTTTGAGTTGGTTTTCAACTTTTGTTCTCAGCTTTGTGTTTATGTATAAAACACAGGATATCGAAATGTATTCAGTAACTGTTCTGTCACACTGACTGCAAGTTATAAATAAGTAAACACAGCTCACCTTAAGAGTCTCCTATAGCATCACCTACACTCCAAACATAGCTTCTATGCTTCTTCTTTACTATTCAGCCTCTGTGGACTCAGCAGGCAACTTTCAGATAAGCTCCTTTATTTTACCAAGATGCAAATAGGCCCAATTTAGAATGACCATGTTTCCTGTAAGTGATTGGCTTCAAATAAACTGTACTCAGTTTTCATTGGTTTCCATTGCTTGGTGTTACTGATCAGATTCAGATAAGAATGCATAAACTCACACGAGGCAGGATGTAACTACAATAGAACTGTAGAGAGAGAAGTTGTGTATCAATTTAGTGACACTTAAACTCCCAAAACCAGTCATGTCATTTTATACTCCAACTAATAATGCAGTTTCACTGAGACTGTAATATTTTCTTTTAAATAGATATAACCCAAAAAAAAAGAAGTTTACAAACAAATTGATGCCAGTTTAACACAGACATGACAGGCATTATAATGTATAATTAAGCTATAAATATTTTATTTGATACATCTGAGCTTAATTGCTCAAAACACATTTACAGACATTAATGATTGTTGTACTGCTCAGTGTGTTGAGGTTAGATGTTAGGTTTTAACATAAAAGAAAAGATTGTCATTGTAACCACAACAGTAAGGGTCACTACACACACGACAAGCTCAGATGCAGCTTTTACCACGAAGAGCCTCTGTATGTTTCTTCTTGCTTATATTCTGACCCTTCACCATAGTATACTTTCACACTCTATCTGTAGTTTAGAACGATCTTCACATTGAGAAGGAACATGCAACAACTTAAGTAGTATGACAGTAAACACACTGACTTGCGCAATCTCACAGCTGTATATCAAAATGTCAGAGGATCCAGTCAGTTCTCCCTTGAGAGAATGAACATCTTCAGCTACAACTACAACTCGATCTTGTAGCACTTTGGCTTAATAGTAAAAATACGTTTTCATGTGTCCTGACAACAAAAAGAACAACTCTTGATTTTCTAGTCATGTCATAAATTCTATTGATAGTGATTAATGTTGAGTAAAATAATGTTTTTGAGATTTTTAGTTTGTGAAATTGCTGATTTAATGTTTATAATTCACAACCTTATGAAATGGCAAAGGAAACTCTTCACACCTTCTTAGCAGAAAGGAGAAATATACATGCAAAGTGATCAAATACATACATTCACACTGTGGTGTTATTTCACACTTGTCTAACACCCATGCCTTTGCTTTGTAACTTTTCTGTTGCAGAGCTCAACTCACTCGCTCTCTTCTGGTTCAATTCCTTCACCCAACAGTGGTTGTCTATGGTTTGAAGACATATTATGCTTTGAATTTCAGTCTTACATAGCTTTTCTTCTGTAGGTATCATTTATTTCAACTACTGGCACGTTATTAACAAAGAGTTTTACTGAGTACAGACATTATGTATAAACAACAGTAACCCCTTGGTAAACCAGTAGAGGGAGACCTCACACCTCTGCATACTGATGATAGGTTTTTGTTCAATGAAACAGCCCACAGTTGAAATGTCAGCAAAGCTTAACAGGATAAGTACAAAGACAGTTAACTGAACAGGAAATAAAATGCTGTCAAAGATTTCACATCATTACTGCTTGAAATATTGATAGAAACAGGCCAAAAATAACCACAAATAATATTTTTGTTAGCAGATAATTAATAAATTCATATTTTATCAGTAGTATTCTGTCAGGAAAAGCAAAGCAATTTAAAGCTACTTTGATATCAGAAAGCACTGCCATAAAGCACCTCGCCCGTCAGTTAATAAGTGCATCTATCCTTGACATTACTGCCACCTTGTGGCTACAGTCATCTGTCAAAGCTGTGCTTATTTCATCTCATAGCAAAGTGTAGCACAATCTGGTTCCTGTGAATGATAACTGGAGCTGGGCAAACTGAGAGGTCAGTAACGTGTTCCTGGTCGTTTGCGCATGTACTTTGTAGATAAACTTTTGGTCTGTAAACTGATGGTAGATCTGCTAGAAGCTTGCCACACAGGCATAATATGATTATTATTATTATTATTATTATTATTATTATTATTATTATTATTATTATTATTGTTATTATTATTATTATTGATTTAAATTAAGCAATTATCCATCAATTATTTAATTTAATTTAAAAAACAAAAACTGTAATGGTCCTTGTATCTCTTACCCAGCGTTTAAAGTTGGTTTTGGACTAATGATTCTTTCTGTTAATTTATGACTTAAGTGTTACTTCTTTATAGTTTAGTATTTTTCTAGTGTGTACTTTTAATATTCATTCTGTTTATCCCCACACATGTGTGTGTCTGTTAGTCCCTGTTTAATTTTCCTTCTTCTTCTTCTTCTTCTTCTTCTGTCGGTTTTAACGGCAGCTTGCATCCAAAGATGTTGCACTACTGCCATCTCCTGGCTTTTACTCTCACTTCACTTAAAAATCATTGGAGCCTCTTCTTAAAAAACAAAAAAAACACAAAAAACAAAAAATTTTCCATTCCACCATTCATCTCAAACCTCAGCACTCTCCTTTGACTTACATACTTCCTGCAATTAATAAACACATGTTCAACCGTCTCCATAGCATTACACCAATCCCATAACTCAGTCGGATGTTTCCCAATCCTAAAAAGAATACCATTTAGAAAGCAATGACCTGTTCGTATTCTACTTGTGATTATCTCCTCCTGCCTATTTAATCGCATTTAACTTCTACTGTGTTTTGTACACTATATAAATGTGACCCTTTAACTTGATTATCCCATGCCATTTTTCAGGAAATTCTTACTTTGTGTCCAAACTATGCTTTTCCCTTCAGATTTCGACAATGGTGTCTGTCCTGTTTAATTTTGATAGTCTCCTGTTTTTTTGTGTTCATTTTGCTTCCCCGTTCTCGTCAGTCAGATTAGTGTCAGCTGTGTTCCCACCTGTAGCCTTTTCCCTCGTTATCTTCTTTATGTATATGTTGTCTGCATTAGACTTTGTTGTGTCCTCCCTCACGGTTGTAAATGGCCTGCATTTGTATAGCGCTTTTCTAGTCCCTAAGGACTAGTCACTTTCCTCAGACACTGTAGCCACGTTCGCCTTTTCCCTCGTTCAACCATTTCTTTGGCAATGCACTCGAACACAGCCCGGTTACGATACGACCCTTCAAATTTAGCATGAAAAGAATTGTCTCCCTATATGGTAATCAAGTCCAAAACCTTAGTTTCTGTCCATTGACTCCCTCCGTCTCCAGTTTCCGCCGCCATGCTTTCTCGTTTGTCTTTGCTGATAATTGGTGTCTGTCTTGTGTTAGTGACGTAAAAGATGGATTGAATGATCATGACCATGAACATGACCATCCAAACAGCAGTCGCTTTCTAAAACATCAGATATCTATCGGGCTCAGTACCACATGCAAAAGTGACCTAGGTGGGATTTGAAAATATCGGATTTGTGCTGTCCACACTGTCATACCATGATCGTATATGGGTCGCATAGGGTCAAGAAAGTCGGATTTAATGCGCTTTCGCCTGCAGTGTGAACGTAGCCTAAGTCTTGTGTCCAACCTCTGCCACCCACACAGCCACCATGACAAAAAAATACTAACATATGTGCTTAATGTCTTTTTGGAATATATTTCAAGTAGACAGATGAAATGCAATTGCAAAATGCCTTGTACATGGGTTCAGGAGCGGATGATCTTTCTCTGATTTTCCACTTCGATTATATTTTGCTGGATTGTTGTTCTTGAATAATAAAAACACAAAAAACATATTGACATATACTAAAAATATACTAAGCTGTCAATAAAATGAGGCCCCCCCACTAATGCTTATTTACAAGCCTATGAGGACACATGAGAAATGTACAACAGGTGAAAAGTGACACTATGTGTTGGAGTGAGAACTCAATGCAATCATCAAAACAGAGTTATCTGGATATTCCATCCTTTGTGGGACAGCAGAGCCCTCCAATATTGTTTTTTTCTTCCAAGCAAAATAGAGCGAAATTCCACTTAATGATATAATTACCACAGCGACTTTCAAACCAAACATGAACCAGGAAGCACCTGTGCAGAAAAACAAAATGTTTATGACAAGTTAGAGCGGTGAAAGAAGAGTCATTGTAGAATTTTGCTTATATACCATACTTTATAAGACAAAGGGAAAAAAAACATGAATTAATCCCCTTCATCAGAGTTAATCTTCCCTCTTTAATAATACCTTGGGTCATTATTGATGGCAGTTTAATCAAAGAGGATTATTTGACACTATGTTATTCTCCTTACCCACTGCAGTTTGTGTGGCCATGGAAGGGTCTCCTGTTGGTTCGGGACAAAGGGTATTGCTGGACTTATGCACCCACCCTGACATCTGTGTCCCATTAAATAATGAGCAGCTGATGAAAACAAAGCCTATGAGCAGATAAAGAGATAACTTAAAAAAAAAATTACACTAAGAATCAGCTTTTATCAGTATTGTTCTCACTCACCACAGGTAGATATCCTCTCTTCTTTGAAGTCATTACTGACATTGTTCCTCACTGAGCAGACCAGATTTCCCGAGACGTGCTGTTTCAAAGTGATGATGTTTGTCTTATTACTTCCAGAAAGGAGCTCAGCATCTGTCAGTGTGCGTCCATCCAGAGTCCAGCTGTACTGAGGACTGTCCCCTCCCTCAGAGGAGCAGGACACCCTCATCTCTCCCTGGGACAGACACTCAGAGACCAGCAGGACAGAGGACACAGGAGCTGAGAGAAACACACACAGATGAGTTTAGATTTTAAATCAGAATCTCTGTTATTTTCTATAGTCTCTAAAAAGAAACAAGGAAATAACAAAATACATATATTTGATATTTTGTGATATATTATTTAGTTTGCCAACAGAACAGAAAAAATACCTTGAATAAACAACTGTAAAATACGCTCGTCTGATTTTCTTCCATCTGAATCAAAGGCTTGAAGAGTATAATTATCACTGTCACTCCTGTTTGATACTATACAGAGTTGGAAAGTATTTGTACTTTGTTATTGTACTAAAGTAGAATTCTCAGGTATCTGTGCTTTACTTGAATAGTTTTTAAATTTTTTTGTTCTACTTCTTACATTTTCAACACAGGCTTTTTACTATTGGTTTAATATATTTGAGAGGAGTTATTATTTCTCATCAGTACATGCGTTCAAGCATCAAACCGATTTGTGCCTAAGCAGTAACGCATGGAATACAATCCTGTTTGTGTGTTAATCACCAGGGGATGTCGCATAAAAAGAGATCAAAGAGGAAAAACTTTGTGCCATAGTCAAGGATTCAAGTGGCAGAGGAAGAAGAGAGGTTAGATATAAAGTCAAGGACTGCTCAGTGGTATTTACCCAATTTCGCTGTGCAAGAAACTGCACAATGACAATAAAAAGCTCTAAGTCTAAAAAAGCTCTAAGTGTATTTGATCAACTGGAAATTAGACGTTTACATGCAAGTCCTCATGTTTTTAAATCAGATTTATTAGGTCGTTGTATTATAATGATGATTTAAGTTCAAGTTTATACAGCTTTAGTCTTGTGTTCTTGTTTAGCGAGGCTCCTCTTGTGTCTTTGTCACACCCCTGTGTCGCTTGTGTGAGCCTGTGGTCTTATCTGTCTCTTTGTTTCTTCCCCCGTTCTACTCCAGGTTTCTGTGTCACGTGTTTGTGTACTTCCTCTTTCATTTTGACAGTTTTTCGTCCCGAGATCAGTGCATTTGGTTTTGCTTCCCATGTGTTTCTTCTTCCCTAATCACCCTCATGTATATATTACATCCATTTTCAGTGCGTTTGCTTATCCTTCCTTGTGTCTTTGTGTTTCCTTGGTTATTCCAAGCTGTTTTGATGTATTCCCTGTGTTTTAGGTTTTTTGTTTGTTTAGTTCTAGCTTCACAAGTTAAAGTTTTGAATGTTCTTCAAGGAGTTGGTGTTACTTTCTTACTTTGAGTACATTTCAAAGCTAGTACTTTTTAAAACCATTTTAAATGTAGCAGGTTCCCAGTGTTTTTCTACAAGTCAGAACAAGTTTTTACATTTCATCTGTGAACTACATTTTAATGGTTTAATAGAGGTTGTTCAGTTGTTTTCCCAAAGGAAGGTGACTGTGCAAATGCAAGCTCTTTTAATATATTACTTATCTATGAATTTACTATTTATTAACCGATTTACTATAAAGCATTACCTACTTGTGACATTACCAATAAGTTGGATGTGTCACATGGCCCTCTTCCTATTGAAAAAACAAAAGTTGTATCCAAGATGGCCGACTTCTAAATGGCCCCCATGGTCACTACCCATCTTGAGGAGTTTGCCCCTCACATATACTTTTGCCCCTCACATATACTAATGTGCCACAGACAGGACTTTAATATCACCAACCATTCCCATTTTATTACAGTGTATCCATATAAATGGACCACCCTGTAGATTAAACCTCAGCACACCACCATAGCTGGTAGTGTCAGACATCTATCAAAAAGACACCCTGAAAACACATGATACTTATATAGTTCTGTTTAACTTTTTAACAATTTCATAAATATACAATAAAGAGTAAGTTGCATAACTTGCCTTCAACTTTTCCATTGTCTTTAACATCCAGCGTGAAATGAATGTTTTTCTCTTGGACTCCATCTGAATTAAAGACCTCAATGCTGTATTGACCTGAATCATTCCTCTTCACGTTTGTGATCTTGAATGTCCCGTTCTTGATTATAAACGTGAGTCTGTTGCTAAATTCCTTGTCTATCATTATTTTTTCTTTCTTTATATTGAACATAGTTATGTTCCCCCTCGGAAGCACCTTCAAACACTTCATTTCATGGCCACTAGCATCAGTCATCACTTGGATATACACAGTTCCTTCAAGAATAGGAGAGCATGGACATGTGTTCGTCCTGAGGTCACATGTAGTCTCATCACCTGGAATGAGAGCTGGAGAAGACGCATTCAAATGAACGTGAGCTAAAGTTATTCACACTTCAAATGGAAATGATTGGCTCCATTCCTGGCAAATTTTCTACTATAATACTTCTTCTTCACTGCTTAAAGTACTAATTTAGTGCAGCTAACACTAATCAATGACAACGTTTAACAGTCCAATGTCCCTTTAAAGTTAAAGATTAAATTATGAGTATGGATACCATGTGTGGTGAAAATAACTGGAAATACCAATAGAAAGACAAATACTATATCACAAAATTTTCCATTCATTCTCTTCAAGAATTTGAAAACATTGAGCAGCATGAAACATTTGCATCTGTTTTTGTAGTTTTTTTCCTCAGATCTTCTGTCATTTGTTGGACAAGTGATGTGTACGGTTTTGCAGTTTTAGTGCAACATGATGCTTATATTTCTGATTAACTTTATAATAACTTCAAAATATATAACTTGCCTTCAACGTTGCCATTGTCCTCAACATCCAGGGTGAAATGAATATTTTTCTCTTGAACTCCATTTGAATTAAAGACCTCAACACTGTATCGACCTGAATCATTCCTCTTCAGGTTTGTGATCTTGAGTGTCCCGTTCTTGATTATAAACTGTAGTCTGTTGTTAAATTTCTTGTCTGTTGTTATTTTTTCTTTCTTTATACTGAACACAGTTATGTTTCCCTTGGGAAGCACCTTCAAACACTTCATTTCACTGCCACTAGCATCCGTCATCACTTGGATATACACAGTTCCTTCAAGAATAGGAGAGCATGGGCATGTGTTCTTCCTGAGGTCACAAGTAGTCTCATCAACTGCAACGAGAGCTGGAAAAAAGGCATTCAAAAGAACATGAGCTTAAATTATTCACACTTCAAATGGAAATGATTGGCTCCATTCCTGGCAAATTTTCTACTATAATACTTCTTCTTCACTGCCTAAAGTACTATTTAGTGCAGCTAACACTAATCAATGACCACGTTTAACATGTCCATGTCCCTTTAAAGTTAAAGATTAAATATGAGTATGGATACCATGTGTGGTGAAAATAACTGGAAATCACCAATAGATAGACAAATACTATATTGCAAAATTTTCCATTCATTCTCTTCAAGATTTGGAAACATCAAGCAGCATGCATCTGTCTTTGTAGTTTTTTCAGTAGATCTTCTATCATTTGTTGCACAAGTGATGGGTACTGTTTTGCAGTTTTACTGCAGCATGATGCTGTCAGGGTCCCTGTTTCTATCCGGTCGGTTAGATGTGTTTTTGTTTAGATTTTTTGCTCCTGCTCTCTCTCTCTCCTTCCCTCACTGTCCCTCCTTCCTCCTACTGCCTGGGGAGAGCTCACCTGTGGGCTCCCTCCCTTGGCCCACGCACCTGTTCGTAATCTCACACCTGTGGCTCATCACTCGACAATGTTCCAGTAACTATATAAGATGGCAGCTCTGTGTTTCTCGTCACTGGACCGTTGCCAACTCTTGTCAGTGTTAACCCCGGCCTTGTTTATTCTCGTATCTCTAGAGATCTTCCCGTAGTAATCTTCTCGTATCTTTGTGAATAGATTTCCCTGGACCTGTCCATGTGTTACCTGTGTGACTGAGTGTGTGAGAATTGGAGCCAGCTTTGTGTTTCTCGTGCATTCGTGGAGAGTGAAGAGGAGCATGTGGCGTGGAGCGTGGATGGAGTGTGGACCTAGGAGCGTGGACCTAGGAGCGTGTGTTGGTGCAAGTGTCTTTCCCTGTTCGTGTGGATTCCCGGAATCCGTCTTTTCCCTCACTTTGTAAATAGCTCAACTGGTGTTTCTGTAAATAAACACTCTTTATTTTTCACGACCCAGAGCCTGCGCTTGAGTCCCTTCAGTCCCGTTGTGACAGATGCTTATATTTCTGATTAACTTTATAATAACTTCAAAATATATAACTTGCCTTCAACTTTTCCATTGTCTTTAACATCCAGGGTGAAATGAATATTTTTCTCTTGAACGCCATCTGAATTAAAGACCTCAATGCTGTATTGACCTGAATCATTCCTCCTCATGTTTGTGATCTTGAGTGTCCCGTTCTTGATTATAAACTGTAGTCTGTTGTTAAATTCCTTGTCTATCATTATTTTTTCTTTCTTCAGATTGAACATAGTTATGTTCACACTGGGAAGCACTTTCAAACACTTCATTTCACGGCCACTAGCATTAGTCATCACTTGGATATACACAGTTCCTTCAAGAATAGGAGAGCATGGACCTGTGTTCATCCTGAGGTCACAAGTAGTCTCATCAACTTGAACGAGAGCTGGAAAAAAAGCATGAAAAAACACAAGTTTAAATTATTAATCCTAAAAATGTATATGTTTGTCATCTTTATGAGGAAAACCTTACCGAGTGTTCCTCCTGCTAATAGAACAATGATAAGAAACTGCTCCATGCTCTTCATTTATTGACTGGAAAATTATGAACAAATCCAGATATAAATCTGCAACAAACCTAAGCCCAAACTGACAGGAAAAAGTAAATCGGTGACAACACATGATGTTTTTACTAAAACAGAAAAGAAACTATCACTTCTACTTGCCAGCACACAGAATAATGATACAGGCTGCTGTAGCAAACCGAAAGAAATATGTACCACATGTGAACAAATCATTTTCCTCCACTATTTCAATAACTAAGTTTAAACAACACTGAATTGGTCTTCACATAATGTATACTTTTGAAAACGACACACAAAAGCTAAAATCACAGGTTCATTCATAAGTATTCCAAAAGTTCTTGTGAGGAGAGCTATACTGCTTAGTAAGCTTCATGGGTGTGCTGAAGAGACATTTTTATTCAGAAAGGATGGGACAATAATATTTCACTCAATACCTAGCCTGTATTAATTCATTAGCGCTTCATCAGTGTTACATAAACAATATATAAAGAATAAAATGTAGACAACCAGGTAAAAAGCAGCTTGTTAAAAGGATGCAAATCTTTGCCCCAACATGAATCTGTGAAGCAATGCTGTCCAGATAATATTAAAACACAGATATCCATCAAAGCACACTGTAAAAATATTATTTTGATAAAAGGAAATTAAAATGTATATTTTAAGCTTTACATCACTTGAAATGTGCTAATAGAATAGGATAGGCATGTAATAACACAAAACATTGAGTTAAATGTCAGACAGTCTGTATGAATGTAGTGTAATTAAATACTCCAGACTCTGTACAGTTACACACAGTAAACATAAAACGTGATGGTGAACGTCAACAAAAGAAGGATGCATATAACTTACTTACATTTGAATGGATGACCAAGCTAAGGCAGTAATACACATGCAACCACTTAACTGGAACTGAGAAAAACTCATTCGTGAGAAAAAAAACAACCTACATGGGTACTTCCCGTATTACAGAGCAAGGATGGGATCTTCTATTCTGAAAGCGGTAATAAAAGTTACAATTATACAACTATGTCTATGCACATGTCAGTCACAATACTTGTGTACAGCTGGGCATCTCATCAGTTTTTACCCTGGGACAATCTGGCAAAAATACCAGTTTTTTACAAATAATCAGGCCAAAATATATTAGGCATAGAAATTACGGGTTTGACGTTTTAGCGGAGGAGATGATTAGACCAGAACATACGACAACGCTGCACACACGACACACACACACCCACACCACACACACCACAAGCACACACACCAACAGGAAGGTACCAGCATCACACGCACACACACACACACACACACACACACACACACACACACATATATATATCATTAATGAATGATGAAGTATGTAATGTGACATTATAATCACAGATGAATCAAAACTGCATATTCCCTTCTGCGATTTCAACTTGTTATCCTTGTCAAGTAAACATATTTTGATTTGGTGAAATAATCCTTGCCAGTTGATAATAAACACACTAGTTTCCACATACTCACAGCTATAGCTTATAAAATGGAACCAGCCAATATTTTTGAACTTATAATGTTCATTTTGGTAACACATTATAAGCAGTATTTTATTCAAGCAGATCCAAAATAATAATAATGAAAACATCACTAGAGCCGGTCAGATTTTCTCTTTGGGAGACCAAACATTTACCTGCAGCTAGGAGATCAATCTTTTACAAACTTGACTCCTTGAGTGAAAACACATCTTCATAAGTTCCCACAACAATTTATTTACATGAATTTATTTATAGTGGATTAAAGCTTAAGATCAACACTTGCAATGTCCTGGTCTCACAGTACACAGGAGTATGCTGTTACCAGGGTGTGTGTGGCAGAGAAGATAAGCTAACAGTAAGGAGCTGGTGCCCTACATCAGTTGAGTTGAGTGGACAACATCAGAAGCATTGTTCATAGTTTGTAATAAAGAGTTACTCTGAGCTGGAAACGTTGCATCCTTTGCAGGTATGTTCAGGGACCAGATCAAGAAGTACATCACACATCACAGATAACATTTTTGTTAGCACTTTATTCTTAAAACAAATTCACAGTTTACTTTTTTACATTCTAAATCTACTTTTCTTGCCCCACTGAAATAATTACTTATAATCTTGTGCATGCTGGACACTCAACTGTAAATCTTGATATTGTCAACTCTGCCACCTCCAGCTTTGTCTCTTGTTTCTGTCTCCAAATCAGCACTCCATCCATCATAGGAGGTCTTACTACCATCTTGGAAACCGTCCCTTTCATTCTAGCTCCAATACCCTTCTTTCAGAAATCACCCTGACACTCATCTTCACCCTCTCCACCCTGCCTGAACTTTCACCTACAGCTCTGTTGTGCATTGTCCATTGTTTTGAATGGCTGATTCAAAGATTTAAATGAGTCAAAGATCCTTTGTTGTTTCCTTTATTATGCAGTCACATAACGGAATTACGTGTGGTCAGCTTAATACCAACTAGTATACAAAGCACAGAAAGATACATAATATATAAATATACAGAACAGGAAAATACGGTAGCATTGTAGTTACATGTTCCAAAGTGCAGTTGTCCTGTGTGTGTGTGTGTGTGTGTGTGTGTGTGTGTGTGTGTGTGTGTATGCACAGGGGGTGATAGAGTTCATTGTTCTAGGGGAAAAAGTGTGCTTCAGTCTAATGCTTCTTGCTTAGTCCTAAACCACCTTCAAGAAGGCAGACGGACAAACAGTCATTTACTCAAGTGTGTGGGATCTGCACCAGAGCAGCTGGCTTTCTTCTGGACACAGCAAGTATACACAGAGTCCCGATCTGGGAGAAGATTTCCCACAGTGCCCTGTGCTGTTCTCACTACCCTGGCCATGTCATTTCTGTCCTGTGCCGTGCAGCTGCCATGCCATATTGTCATACTACAATAGATGATGCTTTCTGTTGCATATCTATAGAAGTTTGCCAGCAGTCTAAAGAGCCTTTGCTGGGCCTTATTTACATTGATGCTTTATCACTGTTTCAAGTTTTTGCTGCACAGAAATTCATAGAAATGTTCACCACACTTTTTACTTTAATCATTTTCATTTAAAGGATGACTACAATTATGACCTTAATTCTATCAGAGCTTTAACACAATGCAAATGCAGACAATGCACATATTGCTTGTAATTAAACATGGAAGGAACCTAAAACTGGATGCATTGATGCTCTGTTTTAATCAGCTGAGCTTTGTGTATTTGCCTGATAATTAAAAGTGTCTTTATGTGTCTTGATGTCACCTCCTCATGTGGACCTTCAGTGGTGCAGTCTGTATAAAGACACCGACCATTTAAATCACCTCATTTTACGGACTGTTGCATATAAATAATTATCTCCTGTTGGTTGAGTGTGTCGAGGTTGCTTTGGAAACTTGACCTGGGCATACTCCACTTCCACCTTTTTCTCTGCCTCTGCCTCTGCCTCACCCTCGCCCTCACCCTCATCTTCATCTTCACTCTCAATCTCGACATCGAACTCCAGCTCAATCTCGGCCTGCAAATTCACTGCTGCTCTGAGCTCCACTTGGTCATCCTCTTCGTCTGCAGAGTAGTAAGATCAAATTAAAACATTCGTTTGACTTCTGATTTTCACTGTCATTTCTGATTCTGACTAAAAATCACAAACACAATGCCTTTATTATCCATTTCTGAATTTACATGACAGCGGCATCAACATAGTCTTAGCAAAAATATGATACTTCTGAGTGAAGTATAAATGAGGTTTTGTACCTTTTTCCTTTGTAGGTTTGTAGTTTTGTTTTTTCCTCTGATCAAAGATGATTGCTATACCAATAACTAATAAAATTAGCAGTGCTAAGAGAACACCACCGATCACTTGCAAAATACCTGCTTCTGAAATAAAGTGACATAAAAAACAAACAAGTAAACAAATGCATGTTTTTACTAATTTACTAATATACCATTACCGCTGACCACTTGATTTACTGATGTGATATCACTGTTTTACTGATTGCTCATTTTAATTGAATGTACCTCAAACAGTCTGAGGATTTATGAAAGTACAAATAATCAACAAAAACTAATTATCAACCTTTTTTCATCACGTTCTCACTCACCACAGGTAGATATTCTCTCCTCTTTGGAGATATTACTGACGTTGTTCCTGACTGAGCAGACCAGATGTCCTGAGACGTGCTGTTTCAGGGTAATAATGTTAGTCTCATTATTTACAGAAAGGAGCTCAGCATCTGTCAGTGTGTGTCCATTCAGAGTCCAGCTATACTGAAGACTGTCCCCTCCCTCAGAGGAGCAGGACGCCCTCATCTCTCCCTGGGACAGACACTCCAAGACCAGCAGGACAGAGGACACAGGAGCTGAGAGAAACACATACAGATGAGTTAAGTCTTTAAGTTGGCCTTTAATGAAAAACAGCAAAAGCAGAAAATTCTAAAGCTTACTAAAGCAATATTACATTTCTATTAATTAAAAGGAATTACCTTGAATAGACAACTGTAAAGTCCACTCGCCTGATGCTCTTCCATCTGAATCAAAGGTTTGAAGGGTATAATTACCACTGTCATTCCTGCTCATCTTAGGAATCCTATATGTTCCATTACTGGGAGAAAAGACAAATCTTTGTCCTTCAGCATTAGGAAGAACTTTATTATTTCTGACATTTAGTATTTTTAATGAATTTTTTATCAATTGGTATTTTGATGTCTTTGAGGTATTGTCCATCAGTTGGATGTCCACATTTCCACCTAAAGATCCATAACACTGAGCTCCATGCTGTTTAATGTCACAGCAAGTTTCCAAACCTGCAAATAAAAAAAGTAAACAAAAGCAAAACTGTAAACTTTTGGAGTATTCAGTCCCTACCAGAAGGATTGCAGCAGCTTTTGCAAATGTTTACCTAAAACAATCGTCGATGTTTTGTGCCTACTGTCTGTCTCACTTCACACTATGTGAAGAAATATTTAGTGCTCATGCCGATGAGCACTACACAGGTTTATGACTTAAACACAGCAAGGGTTCTATTTTACTTGTGCTGATCTTTTTCAAAATGAAAATTTGGAAATTCTAACTGGAAAATCGAAACTCACAAATGAAAATGAAAAAAAAGACTGAATTTAATTTAGCTGCTGTAGCTTCAGAGTTCTGCTGATATGCATGTTGAGTTACTGTCACACCATGATGATATTGAGGATGTGACACCAAGCCCATGCTTTTCTACAAGCATTTAAAATACCTGGTGTAAAATAAGGCTATTTTAATCCGTTATTAAGTGATTTTTCCAAAATGGAAACTGAGAAAAGCAAAGCTCTTGTAATCTTTTGTATTTTGACCTTTTACAGATTATTTAATGATCTAATTTCTCAAAGCTGTTTTTTACTGCATATTCATTTTGAAAGGATCTCAGAAAGAGGCATCAATATTTAAAGAAAAGCAAGCAAGTAAGTGGAAAGGTGCAACACACATCACATTAGCTGACACAGCACTTGGGCACTGAGCATGCAGTGATGGGAAGGTTACTTTTAAAATGTATTCCAGTAGCCCAAACCAGGATCTTTTCCTAAAATGAATCAAGTGGTTTTAGTGCTTGAAGCAAACAAAGAGCTGGTGAATACAGAGCTAAATGAACCGCCCTACTCAAAGTTTACTAAAACCGTCATTGTCTTTAACAGCTATGTGCAGCTTAATAGTAACAATTTGGTTCAGTTAAAAAAATATTAGCCTGTATGTGAAGATGATTAGACTTTTATTCAAACACAAACTAAGTCTATGTGTTTGCAACATAGAAGTTTCAAATGTGAAACGAGCCACTTGGTTTTGAGGCTGCAGAATTAGGTTAAAAATACAACAATCATAATGCCTGTGTGGTTTTCTGAGGTACCGTTACGCAGTTTAAATTGGGGTCGAAAACTTTATTAACTGACCCCAATTTCGGTGTCAGGAAATCCACATTGATACACTCCAAGTACATCTTTTTCAGTGAGCTTTGCTTTTTAAAGGTTTCCAATTTATTATTGTTCTCATCTGTTATTCTTTCCAACCCTATTTTGTGAACCCAGTTATTGAGAACTTCAGCTTTGTTTCTTCTTTGCTTTTTAATGGTTTCTGATTTACTTGTGTTCTTATCATCTGCCACAGTGCTTCTTTTTCCCACCTTAATGTTTAAATTTAATGCAACTAATAATAATCAACGACCAAGTGGAAAGTTTCAGTGTGCCTTTTAAGTTTACGTGGTAGTTACTGGGAAATAAAAGATGATTAATTTATGAATATGAGTAGTGGTCCACATGTTGCAAAAATAACTGGAAACATCAATAGATAGACAAATAATATATCAGGAAATGTTCTGTTCTATTCTGTTCACTGTACATTTGCTCTGTGCATATGCTTATTTTTTGTCATTTCATCTTCTATCATTTTGTTGCCCAAGTGATGTATACTGATTAACAGTTCTACTGCCACATAATGTTTACATGTCCGATTATCTTTATAATAACATCAAAACTATGCAATAAAGAATAAGTTATATAACTTGCCTTCAACTTTGCCATTTTCTTTAACATCCAGGGTGAAAACAATGTTTTTCTCTTGGACTCCATTTGAATTAAAGACCTCAATGCTGTATTGACCTGAATCATTCCTCTTCACATTTGTGATCTTGAGTGTCCCGTTCATAAACTGTAGTCTGTTGTTAAATTCCTTGTCTATCATTATTTTTTCTTTCTTGAGATCAAACACAGTTATGTTCACCCTGGGAAGCACCTTCAAACACTTCACATCACGGCCACTAGCATTAGCCATCACATCACACTGGATATACACAGTTCCTTTAAGAAGAGGAGAGCATGGACATCTGTTTGCATTGAGATCACATGTAGTTTCATCAACTGGAAAGAAAGCTGAAAAAGATGCATTCAAAAGAACATGAGCTTATAAGAATCACACTACAAATGGTAATGTTTGGTGTTTTTTATGAAGACAATCTTACCATGAGTTCCTCCTGCTAATAACACAACAATAAGAAACTGTTCCATCCTCTTCATATATCAACACTGTGGATTTAATCTTAAAAAAAAATAAAGATAATAGAAAAATATTAACAAATGCTGAACCTCCTGTCAACCTCAGGCAAACTGACAACAAACAGTAGATGATACAGACAGGGTGTTTTCACAAGAGCAGGAAATAAAGTGACTCACTTCCACTTGCCCACACAAATAGAAGTGACATAGAGAGAAGTGAGGCAGGCTTTTGCTTGTGTGCTGTAATGAACTGATCTCAAGAAATATCCTCAAATGTTAATGAATCTTTTTCCCTCAACTGGTGTAATTTGGGGGAATTACCTATGCAATCTATAGACAATCTATAGACAATCTATAGACAATCTAGGCAATACTTTTTACTGGGGTAAAACTTTCAAGTGTCAATAAAGCCTTCACATATGGTCTTAATATATAAATTTTAAGAAAAAAAACAGGAAGTAATTCAAAATAGACCAGAGGTTTCTGTGGGGAGAGCTTTGTTGTTTCATGGTCTTGACAGTGTGTGCAGGAGAGACGTCTTTTTATGTTTGCAGGTTTGCGTAAGCTTGCTTTTTGAAAGAAAGAGAAATAAACAATAAAGAAAGAGTGTAAAGTGTAAATACTAAATGGATGCAAATCACTGCCACAACATGAAACTGTTGAAACAATGTCCTCTAGACAAAAACAAAAAACATTTTTTTTTTTACCCATCAAAGCAGACAGACTCAAAAATAATAGAACTCGCTTACAGTATTTGAATAAAGAAAACAAATGAAAACAATGCAAATTTAAATCTCTCTCCGTAAACGGCTCGTAATGTGTTTAGAATGGATGTGTAATAACACAGGTTTTCGGTGGTAAATAGCAGAATGTCACTGAATGTATTTAAATTAAACACTGCAGACTCTGCACACTGGAGGCTTTGCAATTTTTCCCTTACTTTTGATTACTCTCAGTAAGCACGAGGAGTGATGGCGAACATGGATAGAAGAAGAATCATGATCAAGAAACATAGGATGTACATGATATACTTATGTTGCAATGGATGCACACATCAGCAAAGCCTAAGTAAGCAACATATTCAATTCAATTCAATTCAATTTTATTTATATAGCGCCAAATCACAACAAAAGTCGCCTCAAGGCGCTTCACAGATACAGAGAAAAACCCAACAATTACATGACCCCCCTATGAGCAAGTACTTTGGCGACAGTGGGAAGGAAAAACTCCCTTTTAACAGGAAGAAACCTCTGGCAGAACCAGGCTCAGGGAGGGGCGGCCATCTGCTTCGACCGGTTGGGGTGAGAGAAGGAAGACAGGATAAAAGACATGCTGTGGAAGAGAGACAGAGGTTAATAACAGATGTGATTCAATGCAGAGAGGTCATATATAAGCACTCTACTGGAAATGTGAAAAATCATCTATGAGAAAAGCAAACTCTGCATAAGTACTCTCTGCATTATAAAACAAAGCTGGAACCTTCAACTCTGAGGGGGTTGCAATGAAACTGTCCGAATGTTATGGCAGGACTATTGTTTTACATACTTCCTCTTACTCTGCCTTAAAAATGGAAGTAAGAACTATGTTTATGCACACGTGTCGACAAAACGTCCTGTTTTCTCAAATAAGAAGTTGAAAATATATTGAGCATAGAAGATATAGAATTGAGATATGAGATATACAATTTATGCATTTCATACTCTTCAGTTTGAAAAAATGTAAACAGAGTAGTTAAGAGGACAATCCCAATAAAGGAAATTACGTTTGGTATATGTCATTACAATTGATGTCATGCTGACAAAACCGCAGAGAAAATACTGGAGGAACAGAAAGGAATCACAAAAGGGAACTACTGAACCCAAAATAATCCAAAACTCAGCACGAAACTAAAGAAACAAAAAACAAAGAAACCCAAAAAGTATCGGTGAATATGAATGAACAGAAGACCATAACCAACACAGAGTTAGAACAAATCCCTCGTCAAAACCACAAGAAATCATAAACTCACAAAAACTCAAAGCATGGCGTTCTGAACTCAAGTGTTTAGTTTCTTGACTGTATCTCAAATCCCATATCATTTCTGCAGGAAGCCAGTGCGTGCATAGTTATACAAAGGTTTGATATTGTACAAGATCTCCAGCCTGGGCGATTCTTTTCCTTCACTGATGGCTTCCAACACATTATCCCCATCAAGCCTCTCAGTGAGGGACTCATCACAACCTGATAATCCCATTAGTGTGGGGTACCAGTCAGTAATGTGTACTGCTTTGCTCACCCTCCTTTTTGAGCGTAACGTGATCAGGCAGTTGGGCTGGAAAGGTCAGATCATGGATGGATTGTCAGATGAGTGTTGGAGTCCACTGTGCATTTTGTCATGTCTGTTTGGATTAAAGGGAGTGTATGGGGGAACTCTGCAGCACTGCAGACTGACACACGCGAGCTTTGTTAGAGGGGAATAAAGTGATTAAATGGCGTCCGAAAGGTCGATGTAATTAATTTTAAAAAGCCAGTGGGTGGTTAACAGTCTTACTTGAGTTGGGACTGAATGGAGCAGTGGAGGTAGTCTAAGGTCACCTAGATTAGCAAGGTTTCTGTGGAAGTACAAAGGAAGTAACTAAGAGAACTGAAAAAAACCGGGTTAGCCCAAAACAGGCATTTGCAGGCAAGGTAACAGAAATGACTTAATGTTCCCTATTATGGCAACTATTGAGAGAAATATGTCTCAAACCTGAATGAATTCTAATCACTACCCAGAATGTATTAAGTTCAAGTACTTTAAGCAGATCTGCCCCTGGTATTTATTCAGGTTTGGATGTATGCATTTGTTGTATGCATTTGTAAAAATATTTTTACATGTGGCCAAATTGCTTCAGATTTGTATGTGGATTGAAGCACGCACATGTGAGTCCTCAAAAGTTACACATGAATCATTGTACACATTTGTAAAGCCTAGTTTACGCTTGTGGGTCATATCGTACACATTTACAATGCTAATGAGACATATTTCTCTTAATAGACAATGATCCATGACCTATGATGAGAACTGCTGCAAGCTTCAATCTGAAATACTCCACAGTTGATTACAATATGCAAGGCAGGTGTGGAAAGCACTGCTTGTGTGAGACAACACAGGAAGTCTGCACTTGTTACCAGACATGTTTAATTTCCTCGCTGATGTCAGCTTTAACTGACACCTTATAGTTTCTATTTGTTGTTGCGCCATCATCATTACTGGAACAACAGTTTATACCCCCGCACAAGGCCAAGGCATCGTCTCCCTTTCTGTTGTGTAAGCGTGTAGCAATTTCACCTAAAAACACTCAACTTTCTTACCTGTTAACCCTTCACACTGTGGGATGCTTGTATCCTTCTAATGAGGAGTGTATTAACTCTATTATCAGTATAAATTGCAATTAATTTAAAAATGAAACATAATTAAACTTATTTCTAACAATTCCTTCCTTTCACAATGTCAGTTGTGAATCCCAATCATGCTTATCGTTTAACTCCTCCCTCCAGGATTCCCAGCCAGGTGTGATACTGAGCCCGAGGCCTTTCTCTCCTTAACTTGTACTGTGTCTCCCTTTCAGACAGGAGAGTTACCCTAAGAAGTTCAAAAATGTTGTTTAAGCATACTCAATAATTAAATCACTCACTGCCACCTTGTCCCTAAATGATGTCTCTACTGTTCTGTGGATCCTACCCACTCATCTTCATCTGAATTGCCACCCTTTTTATTATTACTGAGCCTTTTTCTCTCTTAAGCCTGTACTGCCTCTCCCTTTCAAACAGGAGAAATCTGTCTGATATAACAGCATCAATAACATTGTGATATTTAAAACATCCTAAAGGTATTTACAGTGCAGTTTTGAAAGAAGGTTTAATCTGGTGGTTCAAAGCAAAATCATTTGTGAAATGGCCACAAAATTCTCTTTAAGAGTTTCAAAGTGTCAGAAATCAGTAGATATAACAAAGGAACTTACAGCTAGTTGTTATATTTACAAGGGAAATGAGGATGATGCTCAAGTTTCTCAGGTGTTAGGAACTGGCATCAGTGTATGAAGCAGCAGCAGTTGCTATACAGAAGTGCAGGAGTCCAAAAGAATTTGTCAGTCAAGTAGCTGTGAAATTTGTATACTGAATCACTGCTGACAGTGGAGCCTGTCGCACAACATATTTGGGCATCCACTGTCAGTAATATGATCTTATGTCCAAAACTGTCTTTGTGATTTTGGAATGGACTGAATCGCTGCAGTCCTTTTTAGACAGAGGGACTTACCATCTAATGTTATTACGTGTCCCAAATAGGTTAATTACTCCGAAGCCCACTGTAATTTGGAGAGGCGCACTTTGTGACTGTTCTCAGTGAGGTGTTTTACAGCACTTTAGCAGGCCTGCTTATAAGGAGAACAGATTAATAAATGATTGACATATGCAAAAATGTCTACCCCTCTGGAAGGATGAAACCTGACTGGTTTTCTTTAGGCGCCCTGGTTTAGGACATTTCATGTACATCCTGTTGAAGGACAGGACACCTGCCAATAAAAGTTGGATTTTTTTCCACCTGCTTAGGGATTATCAGATCACAGGTCAGGTACAGGCTAAGCAGGCTCATGATTGAGAAACTGATCAGAGTTGTAATGCCATGGTTCCTGTGACGCTTTAAACCACTTAAACTTGCTTGTATTCAGCATACTGTCTCTAAATCAGTGTGCAGTGAGACTCAGAGTGGTAAATCCCCTCATAAGATGTTGCAAATGGCCCCTTATGCACTTATTTGGCAGGTTAAGGAACCTAAAAAACTAAAAAAAAAAAAGCTACACCTCCATCCTCGCTGAGGCTCCAAACTGCCTGCGTCATTTGTGCTGTTGTATTGTAGATCAGATTTGTTTTAGCTTTAAACCTTGAATCTTTTGAATAATTCAAGGCCATTAAGGTCAAACATGGCTAGATGACAAAAAGCGAACAACAAAATGTCACAGTTTTGAGTGTTCAGTTCTTACCAGAATGACTGTGGTAACAGATGCAAATGTTGACCTAAAACAGAAATAGTGGTTTTGTGGCTCCCATCTGTCTCAGTTTAGACCATACAAACAAGTATTTATTGCCATACAGACACACACAGGTCTTAAAAACTTTCTCTCTCCTTCTCGCCACCCATTTTGGTAATAAAGGCTTATAATCATCTAAAACACGCTTAGTTCAATCTAAGAAATGCAGTGAAGCTTGACTGAAATGTGTTACCATCACTTCCACACTCATCGCAATGTGAAGCCATGTCCTTATTTAAACATTGTTTTTGAGATGTTTTGTTTTTTGGAGTTGTGGATTCCCTGGATCCCTCTCTGGAGCACTGTTTCACATGCTACTTTGTTAATGTTAAATATATATTACTCCAGTGTAAATAAAATGCACTGAAGTGTGATTTCCTGAGTCCCTCTTCCCATTAGCCTTGACAGATTCAGATCATATGAGCAAAGTACATATACAAAATAAAAGTAAATACTGTGATGGCCCACCAGAGGGCTCCACTCACACCCAGGTCAGGAGGAGGGGTTTCGCTGGGTTTTGGCGCAATGTGTTCAGTTCATGTTTGGTGGTGAATAAAGTCAGAGGAAAAAACTAGAACACCCGTGTCGTCTGTGCCTTCACCCCACAATACAGCCACACTGTGCTGCCATTTCACACTTGTCTAAATGTCATGCTTTGTCTCTGTAATGTTCCTGTTGTGAAGCTCCCCTCACTTGCTCTCCTCTGGTTAAATCATCCGATACTATTTATATGATTTAGAGAAACATGATGCTTTGCATGTAGGTTTTGTGAAGCTTTGCCCTGCAAGCACTGTTTTCATAATAATAAGTACACGTTTTTTTTTAATAAGAAAGAAAGAAAGAAAGAAAGAATAAAAGAAAGAAAAATAAGAGTTTCTCTGACTCACTCACTGAACTTATTTGTAAGCAAATGCAATACCTCTGTAAACCAGTAGAGGGAAACCTGACACCAAAAAGTCTTACTGGGCAAACAGTTCAAATGACACATTAAATGACAATTGTATGAACGGTTTCTAAATACAAAAACAACAGGAAACAACTATATTAAAGCTCCTGTTTTTAATACATCTCTTCTCACTGGTTGGTGTGTGCTGATGCAGTCAGCAGTGTCAGAGTGCTTCCTCACTAGTGACAGTTTAAGGAGAAAGAGTGATTATTCATAAACAGTTAAAATTACACCAAAAAAACATCCTCTTCCTTTGTACGTCAAAGTAAAAATTATAATTAATTGTTAATGCAGGGAGTAATCAAGTAATGCAGCATTATTTTTAAGGAAAATAGCGAGTAAAGTGTAATATATTATTTTTTTGACTTATGACTCTAACAGTCTACATCAAAATCTATACAGGGGCTGTTTCTAATACCACCGGGGTAATTAAAGGACTCCTAATAGCATCAACTACAGTCCAAACACAGGTTCCTTCAGACAAACTCTCCTTTACACAGATGCAAACAGGCGCACCCTACACTGACCACGTTTCATGTTCGTGACCAGTTTCACATCAAAACATGCAAATTTAGATCTGGTATAATGTGACTACTTTCACAGTATTTCAGTACTAACTGAAAGTATTTGTCATTATTGCCATTTCTTGTTATTACTGATCATCTTCAGATAAGAATCTCTGAACTCAGACCAGGCAGGATGTGACTAGAATAGAAATGCAGAGAAAGAAGCAATAAATGTTTAATTATTTTAAAACCTTTTTTTTATCAATTATGTTGATAAACAATTGAAGTGAAAAAGACTCCAAAGAGATGAGAAACAACTAATTAATGGCATCATTCAACCATAGCGAAGTCATCAGTATTTATAAATATATGTCTGTGCAAAAGCAAACTGTATTAATATATAGTAAATTAAAATTCAGCAAATATAAAACAGAAGCTTTATTTATAATGTCATAAAAAGATTTTAACACCAGAATAATGGCTCTGTCACTACATTTATGCTTAAATGTGTCTTTGGTTGTTTATCTAACATATGAACTGAACAAAGAAAAATCTGCAACATGATTACAGGCACGGGACTGGGCTCCATAAATGTTGTTCTGCCTTTGAACATTTCCTTGATATTTGAACTGATGCTGATTTAAAAAAACACTAGCTACTCTGAACAACAACAAAACCGTGTTAAACTTGCCCCAGGGGTATTGTAAGTCCAAATAAACTACGACAGTGTTGAACCTGTGCTGTCCCTGTGATCCCAGCCTGATGACCAAGTATCATAAATGCTGTTGGTATGATTATCTCTATAACAGGTAGTTTGACAGTGCTCAAATTTAATATACTCTAATGTTTTACTGTGTGATATTACTTGAGTAATGATTTGGTGCTACATAGTGACATCTGATCTGAACTGTATTTAAATTATGAAGCAAAAAGTGTTATGCAGCAATGAAACTAAATAACATGAAACAAAATGTACTTTGTTACATCAAGTTCAAATTAAAAGAGAATCTTCCATTACAATCATAAACTTTGTTCTAGCAGAGGTTCATAGCAGGAACATAAGACTGGATGCATTAAAGCAGAATTCAAAATGTGGAAGAACAGTGAAATGTATGAAATTCAATATTTATGAGCTTTGATGATTTGTCTGATAGGAAATCTCATTATTTAATAGACCTTTCAGTATCTCGACATCACCTCTGTGGACCTTCAGTGGTGTAGTCTGTGTAAAAATGCTGATCACTTTAATCACCTGATTTTATGCATGCTGACATACAAACAATCGTCTCCTGTTAGTTCCTATCACAGGTAGATATCCTCTGCTCTATGTAGACATTACTGACATTGTTCCTGACTGAGCAGACCAGATGCGATGAGACGTGCTGTTTCAGAGTGATGTTGTTAGTCTCATTATTTCCAGAAAGGAGCTGAGCCTCTGTCAGTGTGCAAAGTTCACCACAAAGAACTTCACACTATATGGCCCCACAATATAAGAAAAGACCCACCAGTAACAGCTCTCCTTACTAAATAGTGACTGAGAAAGAAGAGCATTTTTTTTATTACTTTAAATGAAAACAGCGCAAATCATGATGTATGTACAAAGGAAAGTATAGCATTAAAACAAATTTATATAAACACTTTAAAAAGACAGAAAAAAGACCTTTTTTCAGATTGAGCAACAAAAGAAACTAAACAGAGGGAAATCCTTTTGACAGAGTTACTAGCATCCTGGTAACTCATATAGTGGTTAAGAGGTGGAAAGTAACAGAGTAAAAATACTTTGTTACTGTACTTAAATTTTCATGTATCTGTACTTGACTTGAGTATTTATTTTTTCTGAGAACTTTTACTTTTACTCTCTACATATTTTAACATATATCTGTACCTTCTACTCACACAGACACACTAGTGTAGCTGTCCATAGCACTAAAACCCATGGTGTAGCTGTCTATGGTGCTGAAGTACATGGATGCATTGGTGTAGCTATCCATCGTGCCAAATCACGCAGATCTACATCAGATCTAGAACAATCTACATGGCTATCTGTGGTGAAAACACTCACTGTTGCTTTAAATAGCTAACTCTATGCACTACAAACCACCTACCTTGGGATAGCCAACCAGTCTGTAAGGGTCACCTCTAAAGCATCAAATCCACAGCAACAGTGGGTAGCTCTTGCCAACAGTCTGCGGTGCCAAATGATTTTAATGTACAGAAAGGGTTTTTTTTTTTGTTGTTGTTGATGTTTTTTTTTTTATATATGGCTGTTTTGAAATCACAGGGGTACAGAGGTGAACGATTGGAGTGGAAAACAAAGCTCATTCTTGGGTGGAAGGCATCATGTTTAGTTTTATGAAGTTCATGAAGTTTTTCACTCTTGTCAAAGAACACACTGAACTCATAATTATAAGAAGAAATGTGGGGGTGAAATGTATGTTTTATATTTAACTAATAATAATGAACTTCACTCAATACAGACGTTAGCATAAGCAACAGTAACGCATCTGTAAACCAGTAGAGGGAAACGTCACACCTTTTCATACTTATCTGTTCACTTCTTACCTTTTCTTAAACAACTGTTTATCAAAATGGCAGCAAAGGCTTAAAAAAATTAATTTGTGGAGGACATCAGAAGGACAGTTAACTGAAATGTTTTAAATACAGAACAAGAAAAAACTCAATTAAAGTTCCTACTTTAATTCTGTCAAATGTTTCATGTCATTACTGATTAAAATAATGATACTGAAAGGCCTACATCTGTAATTAGAATCATATGAGACAAATACATGAGTATATAACTGTGTAAAATTGTGAGGTTTCAACTAGTTTAAAATGGATAGTTACATATTTTCTATGGCTATGCTTATATTCAAGTATTAAAAATAACCACAAATAATATTCTTGTTAGGACTTTGAGTAAAGTAAAGTAAAATTTTATTTATATAGCACCTTTCAAGACAAAAGATCACAAAATGCTTCACACAGAAATACCAAGGCATAAAACAAAGACAGATAGAAAGTTAACCAAAAGCAATTCTAAAAAGATGAGTTTTTAGTTATTTTTTAAAAAAGACTACTGAGTCCACAGATCTTAAGCTCAGAGGGAGAGCGTTCCACAGTCTGGGGGCCACAGTGGCAAAGGGTTTCTCAGGGTGAAGTTTTCCCCTGTCTCCCTTAGTTCTCCGCCTTGTATGCTGCGTGTGCGGTGTTTTGAACAACCTGCAGACACTCAAGGGAGTTTTTGCATAGACATATAAACAGTGAATTACTATAGTCTAAACGTGATGAAATGAATGCATGTGTAACAATCTCCAGTTTGGTGTGAGATACATCCATCCATCCATTCGCTTCCGCTTATCCTTTTCAGGGTCGCGGGGGGCGCTGGAGCCTATCCCAGCTGTCATAGGGCGAGAGGCGGTGTCAGATACAATAGGGCTTAATTTAACAACGTTTCTTAGATGATAAAAGCAAAACCGAAACAGAAATTTGACATGAGCATCCAAAGTGAGAGCCAAGTTAAAAGTTTACCTCTAGGTTGCTGATAGACAATTTCACAAATGTCAAAAGGGGACCAAGAGCTTTCATTGTCTTAGGTGCAAATCTGTCAGGAGCACATTCAAGGACTTTAGTTTTTCCTTCATTAAGTTGAAGGAAGTTGTCAGCCATCCAACCTTTAATGGATTCTAAGCACTGATTTAGAATCTACAGCTTAGAAACATCTTGGGGCTTAAAAGAAATGTATAACTAAATGTCATTTGCATAGCAGTGATAGCAAATGTCCTTAAAGGGGTCAAAGTATGCTGAAGAGGAAGTAGATATATTAGAAACAATAAAGGTCCCAATACAAAACAGGACAGGACAGAACAGGACACTTTCTCTCAGCTGAACACGGAACACACACACACCCAATTTCCTTCAGGGCCAACCTTGGACCTGGAACCGGGATTAATAAAATTTTATTGCATTGAATTGAGTTCAGCCAGAATTTAAAAACTGAACTCTGAAATAAAAGTAGGATGGTCGCTTTCTATTTTGAAACATCCAATTTTATTACTGCCTGTGACCATTTTATCCTTTCTATGCAGTAAATCATAACCAGCACTTCCTGTGACCTTCTATTGTTGGTGCCCTGTTTCTGTTGCTTTACCGGGGAAACAAACACACACACACCCAAGGTAAACACAAATTTTAGCTTTATCAAAAAGAAGAAGCATGAATTTTCCCTTCCTGTTTATGGGAAGTTTCCTTTCCTATTTCACAGGGTGATGATTGTAGATTGAAGTTATTGACATATCTAGTGTGGTCCTTATTAAAAAATGTGCAAGTACACCACTTTAAGGAAAATAATGGGATAAAAATGGTTGCAGGAATAAACCAATGCAAAACAAGTAAAGCAAAATAAATCGTTAAGGTATAAGTGCAGGGCAACATGAGAGGAGCACAAACAAGAGGAGTGTAGTGTGAAAAATTGAGCTTGGTGTCATAACAGGAACAGAGAAAAAAAAACAACACGAGTTTGTGAACAACCTTCTTTTTCTAAGACGTACGTAAACCCAGGTAATTGTGATAATGATGACTAATAATGAATAATAATGAGGGTTTTTTTCTTTAAATGGCCAGCCATCTCATGGTAGACTGAAGTGATATAGCTCAATCACCACTAATGTTACACATTCAAGATGAGCTAAACAAATTTCTGATGTATTTTGTGATAACAACCATCTTATAAAAAGTGCACAACAGCGGACCAGCAGGTTAACAATCCTCCTGTTCTGAGGCTGAAAAAGCCTGGAAGTGTCCCTCTGTTTACTAATATCAGTGGCCAAATCCAAGTAAAATCCAACTTGCAGCAATTTGAAACATGTTTAGATGAAAAAGTGACTCACACACCTGTCCTTTATGTAATTTGAACATCAGTGTTTTTAATGAGGACACTTGCCAACTAAAGGTGAATTGTTGATATCTGGATGTCTTATAAACATCCAAATGTTCAGCCTTTTTACTTTATTTGTGTTTTAAGGATTCTTCGTATTATATGTAGGGTCTTTACCAAATGATATAAAGCTCCTTGAGGCAACATGTTGTAATTTGGTGCTATATAAATAAAACTGAATTGAGTTGGATGATCTGGTCCAACTTCTACCAAGTCAAAAACAAGTCAAATTCAAATGGAAAGAGAAAAATACAATACAATACAATTTTATTTATATAGCAAGTTTAAATTCAGGGGGTACACCAAAGTGCTTCACAGTAAGGAATAAACAGTAAAATGATTACACTAAACAGTAAGTCATTAAAACAAGGTAAAATAGAGAAACAAACAAAGGCATTAGTAAGTAGGGGTAGGGAGAATTCATGATAATCCCGAGAAATGAGTAACGATACAGCAGTTAGTGAGCGGTGAGAATTAGCAAGTTGGAAAAGCCAGGTTGAATAGGTAAGTTTTCAAGTGTGCTTTAAAGAATTGAATGGACTCAGAAACATGAATGGTAGCAGGAAGACTATTCCAGAGGTTTGGTGCTACAGAGGCAATGGCACAATCACCCGTAGTCACTGACCAGATGATCACAAAGAACAGCTGGGAGTATAAAGACTGAGGAGGTTGGTGAGATAGTCGGGCGCAAGGTTGTTTAGGCATTTGAAAGTAAGCAGCAGAACTTTATAATCAATACGAAGTTTAATAGGCAGCCAATGTAAGTCAGAGAGCACAGGAGTAATGGAGGCAAACTTTCTAGTTCCGGTTAGAAGATGAGCTGCAGCATTCTGAACAAGCTGTAACCATTGGAGGTGAGCGAGTTGGAGTCCAGAGTAGAGAGAGTTACAATAATCTAATCTGGAGGTCACAAAGGCATGTATAAGTTTTTCAAGATCTTTGTACGGTATTAGAAGTTTGACCTCGGAAATTTGGCGCAATTGGAAGAAGCCAGATTTAACCACAAAGGAAACCTGTTTATCCAGTTTAAATGAACTATCCAGGAAAACACCTAGATTACTTACAGTATCGTTAAGAAGCAAGCAAAGGGACCAAATCGGGCAGCTAGCTGATCTTGTGGAGTGTGACTATCAAACACCATAATCTCAGTTTTCTTCTCATTTAAAATGAGAGAATTGGCTGACAGCCACTCTGGGAACTCTCTCAAGCTGTCAGACAAACGATTCAATGAAGCTGGCAGATCATCAGACAATTGGAAATGGATTTGAATGTTGTCAGCATAACAGTGGTAGGAGATCTGATACTCCAAACAGTAGAGGGCCCAGCCTGCCGAGCACACCAGCGCCATCTTGGATTAACGATTAGATCCTCCCCTCAACACTCATAAATAACAATGTTCTATGAGAGCTTCCACAGAATATATGCAGAAAACACTCACAGTATTTGTGCAACATACTAAATCAAGAGATTGGAAGTGCAATGAAAGTAATTATCAGTAAGTATTTATATCAGTAAGTATTACCTTTGATAGTATATATTATATTTTTCTGATGGGAAATCACATTTAACGAAAAATAGTTAGACATCTTGACAGCAGCTCCTCACTGATCAGCTTTCAGCTGTGCAGTCTGTATATAAGCACTGACCACTTAAATTACATGGCTTTATGGACGTTGCCATACAAACAAGCATTTCCTGTTGGTTCCGTCTGCCGAGGACGCTTTGAATACTTGACTTTGCCAAACTCTAGCTCAGCTCTTCTCTCCAGTTGTTTCGCCTGCCGTTTCACAACCCTGATATCAGCAAAGATTTCTTCCTGGTCATCTTCTTCCTCTGAGGAATAGCAAGTAGAGCGGTGGGCCGGCAGAAAAAGTTGGTTAGTTTTATCACAAAGACTGGAAATAATGTAAAATGATTCACACAAAATATGACTTTTGAAATGGGTTCATTAGCAAGCTTTAGACTTTATGGTAGGACAGATCTGTCTTCTGTGATAAAGGTAGCTGGTTAAACACTATCCACGTATCTAACTGGCATATCTTGCTAAGTCATCAAAAAAGTTTCATTTAAAAATTTCCAATATTTATTTATTTTTATAAAAAGAGTAAAAAGCAATCTGAGCATTGTGAGTGAGGAAAAAGATGAAGTTTTGTACCTTTTTGTTTTTTATGTTTGCTGTTTTTCTTTTTCCGCTGAGCACAGATGACTGCTATACCCACAAGTAAGAAAATGATGAGCGTCGTGAGAACACCAATTAGTGGCAAATTTCCTGTTTCATAAATTTTTAAAAAAGAGCTGTTATTTGAGTCAGAAAACATGATTTTATGAAAAAATTAAATGGGGATAAATAAGAAAATTACACCAGTGGATGTAGTTAGTTTTCAATTTCTAATACACCATATGTCATCACTTATGGCAGCTCCGTTCTCCTTACCCTTAAAAATCTGTGCTGGTTCAACACACAGGGTGTTACTGGCTTTATGCACCCACCCCGATATCATTGTCCCATTGACTGTGGTGCAGTTAATAAAAATGAACCCTATGAGCAAAAGAGATAATTCATGACCATTATAAAAAGTGACATTAATTGTCAAAGTTGTGATTATCGCCTACTATCACTCACCACAGGTAGATATCTTCTTTTCTTTGGAGACATTACTGACGTTGTTTCTGACTGAGCAGACCAGAGTTCCTGAGACGTGCTGTTTCAGAGTCATGATGTTAGTCTCATTATCTCCAGAAAGGAGCTCAGCATCTGTCAGTGTGCGTCCATCCAGAGTCCAGCTGTACTGAGGACTGTCCCCTCCCTCAGAGGAGCAGGACGCCCTCCTCTCTCCCAGGGACACACACTCAGAGACCAGCAGGACAGAGGACACAGGAGCTGAGGAAAAACACACAGATGATCTTTATTTAAAAAAAAAAAATCTGGATCTTTGTCATTCGTTGTAGTCTCTAATGAAAACCAAGTATAAAGCATGAAACACAAATATCTAAAATGTGAGATTTGTGAGATATTTAGATGGCCAAAACAAGGTTAAATTCAGATCTTTTAATGGCTTAATTTCCCAACAGGGAAGCATTTACCTTGAATAAACAACTGTAAAGTCCGCTCGCCTGATGATCTTCCATCTGAATCAAAGGTTTGAAGGGTATAATTACCACTGTCTGACCTACTCAGGTTATTGATCCTAAATGTTCCATTACTGGGGAAAAGATATCTATGTTCTATGGTATTAGAAATAATCTTATTATTTCTCACATCTAGTATTTTTAATGAATTATTTAACACTTTGTATCTAGATATTTCTGAGGTGTTGTCCATCAGCTGGATGTCCACGGTTCCTCCCAAAGCTCCATAACACTGAGCTCCATCCTGTCTGCCATCACAGTGAGTTTCCACACCTGGAACTTTTGAAACATTAATAAAGAAAAACATTTTCAGACTCTTTTCACCTACAGATAGTTATAGAGAGTTCAGTAGGTCAGTTGAAATGCTAATATTTTCATGAAAAAATACAAATAGATACAAAAATGGCACAATAACATAAAGTGCTTATATGAACAAAGTAACATTTAACAGAAACAACAAAAAGAAGAAAGAAGCAGAAACAAAGAACAGTCTTAAATTTTTTAAAATCTCATTATTATGTTTATCTTACCACTGCTACTATCCATCCATCCATGTCCTTCCACCTATGCAATTATTGCTCAAATTTACACTGCAGGTAAAGTAGTGTCACCAATTAACCTAATGCCTGTTCATCCATTTTCTTCAATTTATCCAATTCAGAGCCACTGCTACTAAAATTAGAGACATGTCCATAAAGAAACTAAAGCTCTGCTCAAAGGGTTACAAACTGTAGATTTTGCCAAAAAGAATATAACCTGATTTTTTAAAACAAATAAAAGCACAAATCTCTTTTTTCAAGTATTAGTAGAGCTGCTTTAACATCCCTTATTTTAAAAAATGGTATTGGTTCAAAACACATTGCTTATATGTAACATATTATTAATAATTATTTATATTTAAAAAAAAACCTTGATCAGCTCACCATGAGGCACTCCCAGTAGAATCACCATCAAGCCAAGCACAGCTTCCATGTCTCCTCACTGTTCAATGTGTGTTGACATAGTTGGAAGTCAGAGTGCTTTATTAAATGGCATGCACATATCTCCAATACTTAATGGTCATAAATGGCTCCTTGGAAATCGTGTTCTCACTGCATATGTGTAAATCTAAAAAAGGAAGTGAAAGCAACATATACCTTATTTGGCATAAATAAAAGGAAGCTCATAGAGCTTCCACAGGCTTTTTCAGTCATTATTTACATTGTCACTGGACTATTTTTAGATCTGCAACCAACTAGCACTATCCCATCACATAGTGTCTATTACATTCAGCCACTGGCTTAATCCAATTCAACAAAAGTCTCATTTAAAGTTCATATTTTAGTGACTTACATGTAGTTTATGTTCCTCATGCAGGTAAATGCATTTACATCCACAGTGGAAGCAGAAACACCTTAAACCATGTTTAAAAATTAACATCACCATTTTAAGGATTGTAGTTTATAGGGTGATTAGTGGTTTTCATGACTGTTGTTGCCAATATTCATTCATACCAGAATCTGAATACAGCCCTGCATTCAGTGGGAGAAATGTTTCATTGCTCATTCTCAGCTGTAAACACTACAGCTACATGATGACTGAAACTAGCACCATTGCCTGCCACAAGCTCAGTTTCATGATCATTAAAATGTAAAATGTAACAACCCTGTCATAGTCCCTCAGTCCTCCCTGGCTGACTTCACCAGGTTGGCCTTCTGTCTGTCTCTTGTTGTTGTTGGCTGTGCTCACGTGGGACTTATCCTGGATGCAACGAAGGCAAATATGTCTCAAAAGGATTCCAAATCTGTATGACATAATCCTCAAGCGTAAACTAAGCTTTACAAATGTATTGGAGGTAGTGTGTAGGCACCTGGCAATTATCAGAGAGTTGGGGGAGAAGTCCTTCTTGTGACAGTTTACAGAGAATTGTTTTCAGAACAGAAAATAGAGATAAATGTTTTTGCAAGCAGCAGTTGTCCAGATTGGCAAGGTTTCTGTAGAAGTACGGGGAAGTAATAGGAGAACTGAGAAGAAACTGGGTTAGAACAAACAGGCATTTGAAGGCAACAGTTAACAGAAATGACTTAATGTTCCCCATAATGCTGGAAACTATGGAGAGAAATGTGTCTTTAAAGGGTTACACATGTGTATGATATGATCCACCTGCATAAAAAATAATCTTCATAAATGTGTGCTATGATTTGTGTGTAACTTTTGAGGAGTCACGTGCATGTGTTTGAATCCACACTCAAATATGAAGCAATCTGACCACAAGTGAAACTATTTTACAAATGCGTACATTAAAACCTGGATAACTACTCATTATTTTATTAAGTTCAGCTCACCTATCAAAAACCTTTCTGTGTGTACAAATAATTAACATTGCTCTTGGTTAAAAAAACGTTAAATTTGTGTGGACAAATAGCTTGAGATGCACATCACATTGCATGCCCAGTGGGGGTTTTGAGTAACATTTAATGCTGCCAGCTTCCCACAGATCCACAAATGTAAGCTGCTTTCAAGTTGCAGTGTAAACCTGGGACAACCAGGCTTCCACTATATACCTGCTGTCTTTTTCTCTTTTTTCCAGAGTGTAGTGTTTGCAGTTGATTAATCCATGTTTTTGAAGTAAAGGGCTATGAGCTGTTGTGTTCGTTTAGAAAGAAACGTCCATTTTATTTAAAAACAAACAAACACACAAACAAACAAACAAACATGTATTTGGATTATTGGATGCTTGTATTCCTTTCCATTCCTCCCTGGAGCAGGATTTCCCCTTTTTGCACTGTGTTTAACATTATCGACTTCATTGTGAATAAACACACTGAACTTTTACTTTGAGACGTATGTTTGAGTTGAGCCTGCCTCATTGGCCATGAAATTTTGTTTCATTTTGGCTGTTTAATTATGAATAATGTAACAATTAAATTAAATATTTTGGTGATTAAGTTTTAAAGCCTGACTATATCTACATCTGTAATTGTTGAAAATAAATTAAATGAGAGAAATAAATACAAGTAAAACATGTTGGATTTTGGGTTCATCATTTAGTTTTTTTCTTTGGAGCACAGGTGACTGCATAACTAGAGAGTACACCCGTCATCGCTTTTTCTTTATGCAATACCAAATCTGATAAGCATGTGTCAGTAACCAAGCTCACTGGTTATGCTCGCCCTAACTTAAAAGCATTCTTATTGAAAATATATCTTTGCCTTCTCACTGTTCAGTGTGTGTTGACACTGTCAGCAACAGCCTCCAACAGCATCCTGATCCTCCTGTGAGCAGCCTCACAGGAGGATGTGTGAAAACTCTGACCAAAAAGAGCATTGTTATATTCGGCGTATTGTTTGAAACAGGGTAAAAGCAGTTGACACATTACTTCCTCTTTAGACTTACAAGAATTGGAGATTTCTGAGACACCCATTTGGACTGACATGAAGAGAGGGAAATGATCTTCATGGTTGAGAAAACAAGAGCTGGCATTTTTAAAAAAAGATCACACTACAATCACATCTGCATGTCTTTAAGTGTGCAGTTACATTTCTTTAGCATATTGGCAGGAAGTCAGATGCGACTCCTGTTACTGTTGTCTAGGGCACCAGTTTAGCTCACAGGGTGAGGAGGTAACTATAAAAAAACCCTCACCCTTTGCTGAGTGTCCTCTGCACACTCCCTCCTTGCCTTTCTACTCTCCAATAAAGGCAAAAACACCTGATTTTGTTTGTTTGTTTTGTTGTTGTTTTATTTAAGGCTTATGTGTTACGTCAGTTATGAGACTGTTCACTTTGAATGAGTGTGACTGCAGAACCTCAATGAACCAACAGGGGGAAACATTACACCTACTACTGTTACAGTAATTTTACTCCAATCTAAAAAATATGTTCAACATACAATTAAGCTCCAATTTGTGATTGTAAAAGTAGCTCATGAAAGCTTTGAGAAAAGGAAAATAGAATTACACACTAGTAAGGGAACAACCTTTAAATATATAGATTTTATTTTTTTACGTTAAAAATGACAACTCTTATTTATATCAGTGAACAGTGGGCTATCATTGTTCACTGTTGTAAATTAGACCTAAACTCAAAAGGCTAATGTTTTAGTCGATTTTACACAAGTCTGTGTTTTTTTTTTTTTTTAATGAAATAAAAGCCCCTGACATCTCAAGCATGACCTAACTTCATACTGCTGACCCTTTTCATTTAGCTTTTGCAGCAATAGATGTATGTCAATAAACATTCTAGTGCTTTTTAATGGATCCTTTGTCCCTGAATCACATGTTCACAGCCATATCACCAGGCTTCAACGCTGATGTACTTAAATTCTTGATTTTGTATCAACTGAATAACCCAAGATTGTTGGGAATCATGAACTGAATTGCAGAGCAACAAAGAGCGTCCCTGTGTAACAATATTTATCCTTGCGTGGTAATGTATGTACACATTCTGAGAACACAAAAGGGTCAACTCATCTGGTAGCAAAGATTTCCTGCATCACAGAGCAGAGATGGAACTTAACACCTCTGAGGTGAGTTGCTCTAAAAATGGAGGCAAAAACTGTATATGTGGCCCTAAGTGGCCTCTCCTATCTTCCTTTTAGTTAGAGTTAAGTTGGGCAGCTGCTTTTGGCAATGAAGCGTCTAAATTTTATATTAAAGCTTTTTTTAAAATTGTGATATTAACGAAATAATATTTCATCAATGATATTTGTAATTTTTTTGTTTGCTTGTTTTTTTCAGCCCACTCTGGGTCGGGGATGAGTTCCTGTCCCAAGTGGAGGAGTTCAAGTATCTCGGGGTCTTGTTCGCGAGTGATGGGAGAAGGGAGCC